GTGAGCAGAGAACCCAGCAGCCGTCCTTTGTCCAAATGAAATAAGCCTGTCGTGACAATTACTAGCAATTACATCAAGATTAGAATCACAGGTTTCCGTGTGAAATGTGGACTCGAAAGGCACGCAAGTTAGATTACATAGCTTTAGCATGTTTGTGATTACAGCTGTTTCATCCGCACCACTTCCAAATCTGGCATTTAAGTCCCCAGCAACAAATACATATTTATAGTTAACCATATTTTTGTACATATCATCAAGAAAAAGGTCTAGATGACCTACCTTTGGTGGCCTGTAGATACCTGCAAACATAATTTTATCACTACCAACAGTTATATCAATTATAAGATATTCAGGCTTGTACATCTCTCCACACGAGTGGAGACAAACAAACAGACAGACAAACAGAATGAAACTTTTCCGGTCAGTGGAGTAATGGGCTTCGCTAATCGCTCAGCCAAAAATCCAATTTTTGAGCTAGAATGCTCTTCTTCGAACTTGATCTGCCTTTTTATGACTCAAAACGACCCTGAAAATCCCGGGTCGCTAGCTCAATTTGTTCTCGAGTTATCGTGCGCACAAACACACAGACACACACACACAGACAAACAGACGCGAAACTTTTTGATCATCACTGGAGTAATAGGCTTCGCTATCGCTCAGCCAAAAATTGTGTATACACTCCTATTCACTCATCTCGGGTGTCAGCGCCGCAGGCAAACAAAAACCTCAATGACTCACATTATATTCTAACAACAGTTGACTAGTGCACAGACTAGAGTAAGGAGAGTCCAGAAATAAGAAAAATCAACAATAATAATAATTTTACACAACCTATCCTTCACCTTCGGACAGAGGCACGACATCGTCAACTTGCTCCGAAGACTCCGACGACTGGCGTGTTGCCTTGCCTCTGGACGAAGGAGGCTTCTTTGCAGTAGTAGTGACGGCGGCTGTTCCCTGTGGTAAAAGTTTGCCAACAAGGGCCTTCACGACGCTTCTGTTCGCCTGCAGGAATGACACCTCATCGATTAGCATCGCCGAAAGTGTATGTCTCTGAGGACGGATTAGAAACCGTGGTGCCGAGAAACGGCGCTCTACCGACACCTGGGTAGCTGTTATGCTCAGAACGACTATAGCCAGCTCAAACAGTTCCGGGCACAGGAGCTTCCTTTTCGCCCAGTACTCGAAGACGTTCGCTTTCTGGGCAGTGGTGATGTGGAGCGCTCACAGTCGTCCAGTGCTGCCCGCAGAGAGGACCTCTGTGCCGCACGAGCTGCTGGTCCAGCACGGTGATGTGACGATCCTTGAGACTGATGTAGGCGCTCCTTGTTTTTAGCCTCGAGGAGTTTGGCGAAGAGATCGTTGTCCTGGTCGGCATCAGAGTCGATCCCATCGCTGTCACTGAGGGTACCTGCTGGAATTTCGGCGGGTCCCTTGACCGCCTCCATCCTCTCCCAGAGACTGACCAGGTTCTTCTTGGCAGTGAGTGCAGGCGGGCTAACCAAGTTTTCTTGGCGAAATTCACTCTTTTG